AAAACAAAAAAAAAAACAAGTTGAATCAAGGTTCATCATTGAAAAACGAGCAAAAGATGGAGAAATCTTCTCTAATTTAAAGCCCAAATCTTCAATAATCTTTTCCTTCCAAGAGCTGCCTCCCAAATGACAAACCAAGACTTTTTTCCCTTCCCTTTCATATCAATTTATACCCCTCTCACTTAAGGATGAAGCCCTAGCAAGCCAAAATACGTCATTTTATTTTTTCACATCAAATGCAATTTCGCCGTAGCAAAACTTTTCCTTTGCCGCGGCGACGATATTTCAGGCCAAAATTGAGCATGATAACCTCTGAATCTGGAAAAGTGGTAGGCATAATAATTTTCAATTATGTTTCGACTTGTTTATGAATCAGCCCAATCTGAGGTCTACAGCTCAAGTTATGGCCCAATACTGAAGCACGTCCAAAGACATTTTCTTCAGTTTGCAACGTGCTATTCACAACTTCGAGCCATGTTTTCACTATCTTCCAGTCAGAATTAGGAAAACCAAAAACATGAAAGGTTTAGTTATGCTTCTTATATTTCCATAGATTCTAAATTTAGGTCATTCTGAGCTGTCAAGCTCAAGTTACGCAATTTACACTCAAAACCATCATTTATGCTCAAAATCATTGTTTAGGCCTACAAAGAAAAATTAATAGAATTAAGTAGCAATTATTTCCCAAATTGTATGAGAAATATCCTAAATCCTATTGAAATTCAATACAAAATTACTATGAAAAATAGGATTATCAAATACCCCCAAACTTAAGATTTGCTCATCCTCGAGCAAAAAGGAATAAAAATCAAAACAAAAAGAAAGATACATACCCAGATTGAATCACAATGCAGGTCTCAAAAATTGTTGGCAACATTATTCAAGGAAAACTAATCAATATTCCAAAAAGTCAAGTTTGCAAATTAACTTTATTCCTCTATTAGCTCCTCAAGTATGTAATCCCTAATTCAATCGATCATTCACTTCTCGGATTATATTATGCAAACAAGCAAAATCTCTTAGATAACTAACAAACTCCATAAGCCTAATTTTTGAATTAGTGTCCAGTAATGTAGACTCGACATTGCTAAGGATCAAAAACTCTTTGTAAGTTTGTAACGTTAGGCTTGGGTAGTAGGCTCCAAAGAAATGACAGGAAAAAAAAAAGTAAGAGAACTCAAATTTTCCTCATACAACCACAAAGAGCTACTTCAAGTCATGATCCTCATCTATTGCTCAACCTCCAAACAATGGCACACCTTTCACAACCCCCAAACTTATAAATTTCTTATTTTTGATTCTAAATTGAAATGATTTTTTTTCTCTCTCTTTTTTTTTTTTTTTAACTCAAAGTATTTACAAAAATTGATAATTCACTTGGGGTTGCTTTCCTTTTTGCTGCCTCTTCACAACCCCCAAACTTATGATTTACCGATCAATCACTTATTCACACACCTTCGTTGCTTTATATGATACGCATATGGTACGAAGTTCTCCTAAAGGGTATAATAAAGTGTTTAGGCTGAAGGGGTTGGACATTGTTGGTTACACAAGAAAATAAGGCAATATAATTAAAAGGCTCAAAAGGGTGACTAGAGACAATTCAAAACAGGGTTGGCTAGAAANTATGTACAAACACAAACCATTCATCCACAAGAGCTATTCAAGATTAGCTAGGGCGTATAGTCTAACCTTGACTCATACAATCAATAAATCAACTATTAAAGACGATCAAGCAATAATACGATCAAAGATCGAGAGCTATTAATTCAAGATTAGCTAGGGTATATAGTCTAACCTTGACTCATACAATCAATGAATAAACTATTAAAGACGATCGAGCAACAATAACGATCAAAGATTGATTAAACAATAATGAATGAAACTAAGATTGTAATGAACTGATTAAACAATAATGAATGAAACTAAGATTGTAATGAATTGATTAAACAATAATGAATGAAACTAAGATTGCAATGAATTGATTAAACAAGTGATTTAGATTAAAAACATAGAGTATTCAAATTAGGTTACATTGGATACACTAGATAGGGATTTAGCTACTCATAATTACAAGAGAACAAACCTTAATCTTACTCATAATTATTTTGATCATAAATCCACAACAAATAATAAAGATTTAATCCCTTGCCTCTCAAAAACCCCTTCTCCAAGTTAACCCAAAGGTTTACAAAGTTTATAATGTGAATGAATTCAATAAAATACGAATTTAATTGCCCTTATATAGTTTTTACAAATAATGGCAATTTGGTAAATATTGAAAGTCAAATTAGGTTGGAAATGCGTAATTTTCACATTTTCCTCTATTGGCACCGCAGCACAAATCCTAGCGATTTGTGCTTCAACAAAAACCCAACTACGTCGCGATGTAGGATGAATCACGCCTAGGCATGATCTAGATTTTATTAATATGTGTCGCGGTGCCATAAATCTACACTGCAACACAACAAGGATAGCGTCGATTTATGCCATGACGTAATAAACTCATGCCGTAGCACAACTATGATTTCGCCGATTTGCGCCGCGGCATGCACAACCTTAAAGTTCCACTTTTTCTTCTTGTTGTCTTGATTCATTCACACTCTAATAAGTCCCGATTGTCTGAACATCAACGCCTATCCCGATTGTCTGAACATCAGCGCATGTACGAATCATCAATTTTGCACCTGAATTCCTATAAACACACAAACCCGTGATTCTGGAAGATAACGGAACATACAAGGAATATCATCATAAATAATGCATTAAACCATAAATTCCCAGTAAAAGGAATCGGAACTAGAATTGGTCGATTTCGGTTCTTAGGTTCTTGGAACCGGAACCTGAAATGCAGGTTCTAGTTCTTTACCCGGGTACCCTATAAAATTTTAATTACCCTCTATTAATTTAAAAATGACCAATACACCCTATAAATTTACAAATACACCCTTGACATTTCACATAATTCACACATACACCCTACAATTAGTCTTAAAAATTCACATCTGCTACAACTAGCCAACAATTGTTCCCAAACTTAAATTGTACATCAAAGTATTGTTGTCGAATTAATTTTGGGAATTGAATTTTAGTAAACGGATGCACCACCCCAACTAGAATTCTAGATGCTACTACATTTTACTAATTTCTTAATAGAGAAATAAAATATAATTACTAATAATTAAATTTTTTCGAAAAAAGTTTCATACATGATTAGTAGTTGGTTCTGATTTTTGTATTTTAATAAATTAAATATCTAATCATTTAATTAAGTAATGTACTAATATTCATCAATTTATCATATATAATTACTAATTTATTATAGATATGCTTAGAACTTGATAATTGAAATAAATATTATTCAATCAAATATATTATTTTATTCAAAAATAATTCTTTTAATAACATTAAAACACCTTTAATTAGATCCTAATTCCAATTATACACTTAATTAATCAAATAATTAATGAATCTAATCTATTTTGATTCTCTTAAGTCTTAATCATATGTCCTCAAAGCTTTAACATTATAATATATATATATACTTCGCCACGTCACCCACGTGTATCTTCATTCTATTTCGAATTTTTGATATGCAAAATTATATTAGACCCACCATTCTTTACTGATATTCTATTCCAATCTGGGTTCTAAGACAGGTTCCATCTCGGGTACCCAACCTCGGTTCCCATTCAAGGTTTCGGGTTTGGTTCCGGTTCCTACATAAATCGACCCTGTGAAAGCTAGTTCTAGGTAGGTAAGCTAGTTCTGGGTAGGTTTTGGTTCTAACTACTACCCATGCTCTCGCCTCGTGAATTGCATGTTGGATCTCTTATCAAAGTGGCATATATCATATTCAATTCACAAGAAGATTTACAATGTATCAACACCTTTAAGCTACAATGAGACATCGCTTTACTCAGTCGTTGGATCTACATCGTGTGGCCTCTTACTGATACAAAATTGATGATATGTTAGTAAAAAGGTTGATTTCCAGTACATCACACAGCGCCCAACACAAGACACCCTTCCTTCTTCAACTCCCCCTGTCTCTCTTTTTGCTTTTGTTGTTCTCTAATACTCAAGAGGCACACATAAACACACTCAATTCTCAAAACCGAGTTACTTTCTCTTTGTTTCAATTTTTCTCAATGGCGTCTTCACGTGAAGGACATTACAGAGTTCAAAAGAGGCCGTGGGGAAGATATGCCACTGAGATATGTGACCCATGGAAGAAGGCTAGGGAGAAAGGGATATATTTGGGGGTGCATTTGTAACTTTTACTGGGTATATTCGACATTTTTGTGAATAGTAAGGGTGTATTGTAATTTTTTTGGGTACCTGGAACCGGAATCAGTGGCTCTGATTCCAGTTCCAGTTTCAATTACGGTTCCATGGGATTTGGGCAGGTACCCGAACTCGTCCACCCCTATTGGTGGTGGTGTTTGGGGTGTTTTTTCAAGATTTTAAACCTGTAAGGACTCAAGGGTATTTTTGTTATATTTCAAACTTTTGGACACTGATTTGGCCCACTGATCAAACTGTTTAAACCAGTCAACCCAAGACCCGACCACTTTGCCAGGTTTCTCCACAAGTTGGTTATTAAAACACTGATAATACTAGTCATTCTAAAAAATAATACTAGATGTACAAACAAATCTTATGAAGATTTGTATACAAACTAATACGACAAAAAATGAATGAAAGAATTAATGTGATAAGTTTGACTTTTTGTATTTAGTCATCCACTTATTTTCAACCAAATTAGTTTGTACAAATATTTGTTTTTACACCGGTGTTAACATTATTGCATTCCAAAGTCTTACCCTAAATTTCACATCTTAAGTGATGTGTCACCATATGAGCATTGTCATATCATTCAATGCATTATCACTTTTTTTATATTTCAATGTCACATGTGATGACACATTACTTGGGATATGAAATTTGGGAAGATTAATATTATTGTTTACATAAATCAATGTGGTGACCAAAGAACATATCTGAAAAATTATAAGTCATTGCATGGACAATCATAAGTGTATGAGAACGGCCTTCTCAAAGAATTTCATAATTTCTGAGGTTATTCAAAAAAGTTTCTCCTACTAAGGAACCAGCCTTAACAAAGACAGCAGGATAGCCAATAGGAGCTTCTACCCAAGCATCAGAACCTTGCCTTGTAAATATTTTTCCTGTCCAAATGTGTTGCCAAGACCAACTTTCTCCAACTGGAAAATATGCTCTCACTTTCTTCTTTCCTTTGTCAAGCGTGGGCACCACTAGGATCTCTGTACCCACTAAAAACTGATGGTAACTCAAGCTGTGCACCCTCTCATCATCTGGGTAATGGAGAAATAGATGACGGCAAACAGGCAGGCCTTTTTTAGCTGCTTCCTGAGAGATAGAGGTTTTGTTTTGTTAGATTTTCTGTTGAAAGCAATAATTTTATACACTAAACATATTTCGGACATTTCATATATCTTTACTAGTTTCACCTTTACTAGTTGGATTCTGTAGAACTTCCAAGCTTTGTACACTTTAGCAAAGCGCGCAAAATGTGACAATGTTTGTTGGTTTGAGTAGAACTGGGTATTGCAGGATGGTTTATTTCCCTGTTTGTGGAGGACAGATTACAATAAGGAATTGATGACTTGAAGAAGAAATGTAGCTTAGCTCGTGATGACAGTTGAAATATTTCTACTGTCATACGATTGAAAGAAATGTATTAGTTTGTTTATTCATTTATTTTTAACTTATAAATGAATGAAACGGTTGATTCAGGTATATGAATTTCACTACCTCGTGGGTTCGGAAAACAGTTGTGAAAGCATTTAGCTCCATCCATCGCAACAGCAGCTCTTCACTTCTTCTATATTTAATTAGAGGTAAGTTTACTGCACAGTATCCTCCAATATCACTGTGGTTAAATGCATATCCTGAGAGTCCACTGCTTAATAGGCCAATTACAGCACTCTTTATCCCATCATTAGCTTGCCAACTTACCATTTGGTCTCCTTCCCAAAATAGCATCCCCCATTTCGGACTATCTCTGAAACCAGCCCTCATAAAGAAGACCAAACCCTCTTCTGGGTCTTCTTTTTCTTTTCCCACACAGTTACCTTTCCATTCTTCCACAAATTCTCTGTTAATTTTGGCCCAAAGTTCTGGGTATCTGTTATGAGCTGAAATAGGATCTTCACCTAATACAATAACTTCAAACTAATTAATATATCTACATTTCACATAAATAATCATGTTCAAGAACTGGAAAAAGAAAATAATCATAATAACAATTACTGAAAATTAAACCAAGTAGGAGTATAATGCCCTTATTGTCATATCAGTTTCTCCAAAATTTTATTTGGTGTTTGGGGGAAAGAGAAGGGAAGGTTGTTTGAAGGGAAGCAGATGGTCATAAAAATGTTTGGGGCAAAAATTACTAAATATTTTTCCTAAAGGAAACCCTTACTTTCTACAAAACCAAGAGTAAATGTGCCTACACTAGTGGTGATTGAAAAACAAAAAGTACATGTGGTTAAGTGCTCTGAAGTATATAAGTTTTAAAAACTAAGTTCCGGATTTTGTGATTGGTTGGAGGGTGTAGTTGAAGGATCAAAGAGAGGTAGGAAAAAGAGGGAGGTAAGAAATCTGGATTTCTTCTTTGGAAGGAAGTAGAGAAATGGAAAAAGGTGACATGAGCTAGTGATCTTCCCCTCCAACTCACCATAACCAATACTCCCGAGAGTAGGCATTCTTAACTCCGACTTGAAGAAACATCATTTTATGATTTTACACCTTTATTTTTCAGTTCTTGCTTCCTGTTCCTGAATGCATGAAGAAATGGAGAGAAACATTTCCCATCCCTTATATTTTCCCTATCCCTCATCAATCCTTTCTCTTTAATTTTCCTTTAATCCTAGCAAAAAGAGCATGTAAATTTAAGACACTATAGTACTACCGACCATCTTTACAGCTCAGGGAATAAACATTAACAAATAACAACCACCTAACCTAATCCTCTTTCCCAATAGCGGATAAAGTTTGTAATGGCATGTGCCTTTTTATTTTTTTATTTTTTTATTTTTAATAAAAAGAGGGCCTAAATTTTGAAGCTTGGACTATCATTTGTTGAAGAAGTCATTCTTACAACAAGTCATTTTGTCTTTTTTCAGTTTTCAGTTAACTGAGTATCAAATTTTAATTTTATAGTTGAGGAATGTCCTTTAAGCTTACACTTTGGGTTCTCGGAATTTTAATATGGTATTCGAGCCAATTTCACCTAGAAGTCTTATGATGAAAGCATGTAACTCATTCGCATAATTAGATTTGCTAAAAATAAATAAATAAACTCTTATCTTATTGTTGCATGTTTCTAATATAGTGTCTGTCATTTACTTGAACTATTAGTTAAGTCCAGTCATTTATCATTTATTGGCATCAGAACAGCTTCTCGTGACCCTCAAAGATCATTAAAAAAGAAATTGTTTTAAAACCTGAATAAAGCGTGGCATCCATAGGCAGGCCTTCACCAAAATCAGCCATCCACCCTCTGACTCCATCATCCACCATTTCTTGCAAAATCTGCTTGAACCAACTTGCAGTATTTGGATGTGTCAAATCCAACATTCCCACATCAAAAGCTGTATTTGGAACCATGTATGGTTCTCCATGCTTATCTTTCACCAAGATGCCCAATTTTTTGGCCTCATCAAAAAGGTTTCTCTTCTTATTTGGTTTTTCATCAACCTATGAAAGGAAGTTAAAGGTTCAAAAAGAGCTGAAAATTCCCAATCACATCAAATATATTGTTATGAAAGAGTCAATGTAGTTCTTTCCACTGTTAAATTAGAAAAATACATACCGGAGCCAAACAAGGATTGCAGTAAGTCATAACTTTGATACGCTGAGCACTAAGATCTTTGATAAGTTCTGGCCATCCCTGATATCGTTTTGTATCCACTTCCCAGTTCCACCATAGTTGTGATCCAATTAATGTCTCCCGCTGACCCACCCAATCCTGAACAACAATTTTTACACAGTGAAATCTGAGGCCTGGAATAATACTGATGTATGCACAGTATTTATTCTGTCAGATGTGATTCATGGGATTGATTTCAACTTTGAAGTTTATCTGATCACTGGTTGATATTAGAAATCAAGTACCCTGATTTTCAACTCATTAAGGTTACCATTATACTACTAAAAATTATTAAAAACTTATCAAAACCCATGCGCTTCAAAGTTGACTGGGTGTGAATATTTAAAGATGATCTGCAAGTGGTATCTTGAAACTTATCAGGATTTTAAATGTTTTTTGAGTAGCGACATGCACAACCTGCAACCAAATTGCAGAAACAGGAACTTCATGAGTCCTAAGTGCATCCCAGACACGACGTACAGCATCTGTACCACCCTGCATTCCAGCAACAGCCCCAGATATGATCCACTCAGGGAGCTCAGGAGGTCTTCCAATAGTTTCTGTGAAGCATTCAATGAGCTCGGAAGGTGAGTTTCCATGCAAAATCCTTCCTTGAAGTGAATTGCCATGTATCTGCAAGCTCCAGTACAAAGAAAGTTGGGAACTGCAAGTTTGAACTCTGAATGAGCCAAAAGAATTATTTTAACCAGTTACAATTTAAAAACTTTTTGTATAAACTAAAGATCCAGTTTAACATCCTTTAAAAATCAGCATTAATCTTGAAATTCAGTTAAACTAACAATCAATTTAATGATCAGGATGGGTTTAATGGAGGAATTATTTATTTAATTGTGCCCAGAAATGTATTAATTATATCTATGGCTATAATAAGCAATTTATATCAAACAATGTCATACCTGTATTCGAACTGTATCTGGAGTGGTGAGATCAAAAATAGAATAATCATATCCTTCAAGGTAAACAGACCTCATCTTGGACGTAATATAGAATGGAGATGGAGCATAAGTGGTACTCCAATCACCCCCAGCCCTGCAAGAAGAAGGAACAAAGAGTAAATAAATGAGGGCCTGTTTGATTTGCAATCCAAAAATAATTTCCAAATCTAAATACGAATCAAATTTTTTATTTGTATCTTAATATTTGAAAATGTATTGGATATAATATTCAAAATTTGTTTTCAGATAAAAAACTAATGAAAACTTTAAAAATGATTTTTAATTTTACTCTAAAACTGTTTTGGAATAAATTTAGACAGTTTAAAATTCTGTATCAAACGGATAAATAAATGTTGTTACCTGTAGCTGACCAAATTAGCTGCAAAAGTAATGGGTTGGTCACCTCTTCCGATGCCTTGCTCTTGAACAAAAATAGGCACCTTTTTCCCTTTGAAATCCATATGAGAAAACTGTTCTCCAAACCCATAAAATCTCTCATTTCTTTCACTTGAATACATAAAACACACCCTGTTGAATTCCCCGGACACTGGCTCTCCCATTTCCTCCTCTGTCTCTGATGAAGAAATGGTTACAAACCCTCTTGCCCTTCGCCTTGTAAGCAACCACCACCATCCCAGTCCCAGCTTTCTCTTTCTTCGTCGCTCTCTTCTTGTGTTAACCTGAAAATTTGCTTCTCCAAGCTTCAAATGAAACCCAACTTGATTACTGCTTTTCTGATCAAACACTATGGAATATCTTGCACCACTTGAACTTGGTCTCTTCTTCGTCTTCTTACTGAAAATCCATCCGCTTATAACCAAACTAGGAAACTTAAAATCATCAATGATTCTGATATCTTCAATAGTTTGATGGACACAAAGCAAATGAAGATGTGTATCCTTGATAAGAAAAGATCCCCTGCTTTCTTCAACCTCAGTCTCAGCCAGAGCCGCAGAGACGAAGGGTCGTCCGGGGATGGTGGACCATATGGGTTTTGTAAGATGAGAAGTATGAAAAATTGAGAGAGACCCACCATTTTTGGAAGTCCAAAGAAGGTGAAAATCCTTACCAATTGAGAAAATCTGGTGTGAAGGAAGTGAGTGGGAATTGAAGAAGAGACCTCCCTGGATCAAAGGGACACATTTTGGATTTGAAGGAAATGGATTGTTAAGGTGTTTATGGTGCTTTTTAGTAATTTTCATGCTTCCCATGTGAATGTTTTGGTGCAAGAAAATTCAGTACATCTTTTTTATTTATAGATTTGTACGTGAAAACTACGATCCAATTTTGTTTTGGATTTTAGCAATTATTATGAGTTAGTATGTAATTATTGTAATAAATATTCATTTTAACTATGTTTTCCCCTCAACGGGTGTGAGTGGTAGTTTTCAAAATTACAAACTAAACATGCAATTCAATGTTTTATGATTTCATATTTTGTTTTGTTTTTAAAAAATAGAAGAAAGAGAAAATAATATATTAATTGAGATTTGGCATATTAACATTTGTTTGACCAAGACCCAACCACTTGGCCGGGTTTCGCCCCGACGCCGGCTTTTAAGACCTTATGGCTTGCCATCAACCATCTAGTCAACCGAATAAGCAAGGCGAAATTGTTTGCCTTCTGCTGGGATTATTACTTTATACCCAAAGTTTTACCTAAATCCATAAACTCCCTCATGTACACTAATTATTCTAAATCCTTTGTCAACAAGATTCCCTCACCTGCCATGCCTATCAACCCCAACTCCGACTTGATCTTTAGAAGCCCCTAAACCCTCATGTTAGACTTAAATTATTCAATTATATAACATATTACAATTTTTTATAATGAAAAAGAAACTAATAAATTTGAAAGAAAAAAAACCTAAAATACCTGAAAAAACAAAAACAAAAATGAACACCAAAATATTTGAAAATTAAAGATAAACTAATCTAAAAGTCAATAAAAACAATTAAACCACGTGACAGAGAAATGCAAAATTTTCAAATAATTTTACAGATGACATTGTTATAATAACTTGAAGAAAACTATAAATTGTATAAATGAATATTCAAGATGATAATAATAATAATAATTATTATTATTATTAATATGAAAAACGAAAAATATTGAAAAATGGGCAACAACAATATTCAAATATGGGCAGCAACAATATTCAAATATGTTTTATAAAGATTATGATTATTTCAAGCTTTTTCTACATAATTACGTGACATTACAAGGATGATATTTTAGTCCACAAGAAATGTTTTTTTTTTTTTTTTTACCGAGGTATCTAGGCCAATTTACGCGTACCTCAATGTAGATGCTAAAATTTTCCGATTGTGGAAGTAGGGTTTGATCCTTTGAGGTTGAGGCCACTAACAATCTACTGTACCTGCACATAAAGCAAATAAGCGTGGAGCTTACGTGAACACCAATGTGATGTCTGTGGTAGGTACTTCGATGCTCAAGTCAGTTAGACTGAATAAGGCAATTTAGTGAGGGTAAGGGAAGAAAGGGTTACCAGAGGTTAAGTCGGAGACTAGAACCACGGCGTAGTAGTATAACTCTTAGAAGTAAGAGCTTGGGTGCTGGTAGGTGGTGTTGAGATTGAATGTCCAAACAAAGGAGTGATCCCTGTTTATTTAGTAGTTGTAGAATCTTTGTATCCTAATAGGACTCTGAATCCTTAAGGGAAGTGGTCTAGTGAATATGAAAGATCTTGGTTCACTTGATTTGTTAGTAACAGGAGTCTTAATTTACTTAAGATATGAAATCTTAGGCGAATTAGGATAGAACCAAACAAGAAGAGTCCTACTTACCTTGGTCTAGAAGGCCTAGCCTTAGGTGGGCTAATGGCGTCGCCCATTCTAGAGGAAGGCTGGTTTTGGGTCGCACGTCTATCGACCTACGTCATGAATTCTGATGCAGACCCAATCGAAATTGGATCATAAGCTTGGGTCGTTGTAGTGGATCATGCTTGTTTGAGCTTAATAAGGGCTCGGGTGATTTTTGACCCCCACACTCAATTAATCTTTGGGTCTATTAAATACGCTACAAGGGTAACGGAATATGTTGTTGCCCTTTTTTCAATAGATATTAATTAATTGTTATTTACATGAGACAATGTCAACTCAAGTTGAATCATAAATCCAAAATCTCAAACTGGGGACATTTTAGTTAATTCATGAATCAGATATGGTCTTCAATAAGATTATTTAAGAGTGAAAACTGACGATAAGGGAGCTTTTGTGTAATACCAAATGGTTTGGACCTAACTAATTTCAAATACACAATGGGGGCAAAATGGTTTTCTTCCAGATAATAAGTTCAGAATTTTTGTTAATTGATACATCTATAAGTTGGAATGGAGTGACGTTACAATATGTTGAAAACAATAATGTTATAGTCATTGAAAGTAGTGTATCAAATTTATGTATCGAATGACGTGATAAAATCATAATTGTCGATTAATATTAATTCATAATTAATTAATGGTCAGGATTGTATCACGTTATTCGGTGCATGAATTCGGTATACTACTTTCGATGACTGTATTATTTTCCTATTGAAAATTAGCAGGTCGAGTGTTGGACTTTGGGTTGGCCGAAAAGGCTTGTACCCATCACTGCACAATCCAATTGACCAATGAAAAGAAGTTATATGAGAGGAAAATCTGATAGGGACTACCTCTTCTTACAAACTCTTCTTCGAAATCCTAATATAATAATTCGTAATTTATAATGAGTTATATGTATTGTAGGTATAATGTTACTCTATGAGATAACTTATGTATAGTTATTTAGTAACAGTTCAATAGTTAATACAATGATTAATTATCTTTCACATCGCTGAATATAATCTTGCGTATGATTAAACTGAGCGACATAAAGTCACACATAAAATATTATTTCTTTATTTTCTATTAAGTCTTTATGCCGTAATCAGTGTTAAATCTAGTTATTCTAGTACTAGAGTTTCGTCGCGAGATTATCATAGAAGGAAAATAGCATTGTGAAGCACTCCATTGAGAATGTTACACAGCGCTAGATGTGACGTGTTTATGAAATCATGCTTCCATATTATAATTATTATTTGAGTAATACTACATATACATTATTTTCATACAATATTTTCTATACAATATTATGTGACAAGATATGATTGACTAATTTAAAGTTAAAATTAAACTTTCGTCCAATCACATCTTATCACATAATGTTGTATGAGAATGATGTCTGTGTAGTATTATTATTTTTATTATTTTATAGATGTGAAACATAAACATTATGGATAAATGTATAAATAACATTAATGTCATGACAATATCCTCCAGTAGGAATAGAACTGTACAACAAAAGAAAAAAGGATACATGATAATTTTAACTAAAAAGTATTTTATAAATTAAAGAACTAAAATTAAGAAAAATGTTATCCTTACAAAAACCCATACAAAGAGGGTTACAAAGTGACATCATCCAGAAGAAAAAAAAACGGAAAAAGAGAAAGAGAGAGAGAGAGAGAGAGAGAGAGAAATCATGAAAATCAAGGGTATGGATTGTCTTTGTATGCCCCCTTTATATGTGTCTTTGTAAAACTAACATTGCTCTAAAATTAATGAATATGATTTTACAAAATTATAATAATAGTATTGTTGATGCGGAAAATTGCACCAACTAGAGGTATGTGATTGACAATACTAGAACTCCGTAAAATGAGCGCGTAATCTTGATGGATCACTAATGAAATAATACGATAATGAATGTGCAGTAATTAACATAAAATACTAAAGAACAAAAAAGACTTTTTAAAGTGGTTTGGTTGTTTATGATGCAAAACCTACGTTCACCATTATCTTATTGAATCTGCGACTTTGACAATTTGTCTTTATAAGAGTTTTTAATAAATTCTCTATACAGACTATATAATGAGGTTTATATACTGTGTCGGTCACAACATTTAGTTGAAGAAAAACTCCAATTCGACTAAATAGAAAAAAGTGTAATCTTCGGCTTTGAATAAAATTTATTATTATTATTGTTTATGACGCAAAACCTACGTTCACCATTATGTTATTGAATCTGCGACTTTGACAATTTGTCTTTACAAGAGTTTTTAATGAATTCTCTATACAGACTATATAATGGGGTTTTATATACTGTGTCGGTCACAACATTTAGTTGAAGAAAAACTCAAATTCGACTAAATAGAAAAAAGTGTGATCTTTGGCTTTGAATAATGAAGCCTGTATCGAGAGATATAATTTGCATGCCAATGGGGATTTATCCACTCTGAATTTCCCGCACAAATATATTCCTATAATAAATAATTAATTTAGATATAGTTAAAATTATTTTTTATTATTTTTTATATAAAATTTGACTCGTATTAGCTGACCCTAATGCAAATTCTCTGAAACAAACAGATAAATAAGCTTAGAGTTAATAAAAGTAATGTAATAAAGTTAATCTGACAGTTAATGACCTATCTTAATTTAAACAAACCACCAATTGATCCAAAGGGACGGCAATTTATATTAAGAATCGGCAATTTATATTAAAAATAATGCGTAACACATAGTGACAGAATTTTGCATTGATTTAACAGGTCGAAAATTGGACAAAACTATTTAGTTCCATTATATGTGGATGATTTCATTGTTTCATTCAAACTTAATTGTATAATTAAATTGATAATCTCCAAGCTTCAAATCAATTGTCATCTTCAATACCGATGATCAATTGGATGAAATCACTATCATACTTCACTAAATACATGGGTTTTTAAGTAAATTGTAAGAGAACTTCAAATATATACAGTAAAACCTTTTTATAATGATATTCTATATATGAATAAACTATACATGATCATTAAAAATTTTAGTCCCAATTTAAGATAGTTATAAATAAGAATAAACTCCACATTGTAATAAGTTATAATTTTTCTAATTTCCGTCTTGAGTAAAGTTGCATTTACATAATAGTAATTATCTGTATATTACTAAAAAATATATGTTATATTACATTAAAGGTTTAAGATGAAATAAAATATTTATCTAAAGTTGTTTGTGACAATGATTTATATTTTAGAGTTGTTACCGCATCTTTTATCTTGTTAATATGTAATAACTTACTAGTATGAACACCTTTTTGTTGAAGCCAAAATATTTTTAGTTTCTCAAATATGTTTAGAGCTTCATGATACGAAACTTTTTGTATTTCCGTACTATCATCCTTGGGATTATTTCCTTTATCTTCTTGTCTAATTGTAGCAATGATTTCTTCTTGGGTTAAAGCATACACGATTTGTTGCTCATTTGGATGGTTGAGGAAGACATTAACATCTATTCGATTAGTGTAGTGAAGTTTTCGAATCTGATCACTCAATTTTGTAATGACTTTTTTATTTTTCTCGTCCACTTCTTTTGTAACTTGCAATTCATCGAAATCGGGGGTCCTAATTTTGCAATGTTTAAAACCATTAACAACTGTCTGTGGCTTCACATCAATTGACCATGCATCAATTGCATTTATAGTTCCATCAATGACACTTATTTTTGCTGATTCCAAGACATGATCTTCTATCCATTTCAAAAGTAAACAATTGAAGTGTTGAATTAAAATCTTAATACTACTAAAATATGAATTGAAATCTTAATACTGTACTACTAAAACATGAATTAAAAAATAAGAAACCAAAACTATAATTTTTGTAACTACATCTCCATTAAGTTATAATCTACTCATAGTAATAAAATTATTTGGTCCCATCATTATGACTATAGAGAGGTTTTACTGTATATATAAATTAATTTTCTTTCTAAATTCCAAAGTTTTATCCCCAAAATTCTGTTTCTACTAACTTTTATATATATATATATATAATAGACGGATAAACATTTCAACAAAATGAAAAGCACCCAATATATCCATTTGGTTTAAAATAATATCGTTTTTTTTTTTTTAATCTTTGAAACTAGTTTAAGAAAAGGCACACTACATTGAGGGGTGGATTCCGGGTCCCTCCTTTATATTCATATGTTGTAATGACTCGGAATAATCATAATATACAATAATAACATATATATAAAGTTGGAAAAAATTAGGATCCCAACTTATATGCATAGAATTATTATAATATATAACTATGAGGTACGTATAGGGATGAAAAGTGTATCCGAAAATCTGAGAACCACCCCGCCCTACCCTGTATAGGACGGGGATTCCCTGAAGTAAGTAGGGATGGAGACGAGGACAAAATTATTCCCTAAAAACGGAGACAGGGAATGGGAAATCCAGCCCCGCCCGGTTGCCATCCCTAGACTAACGTTGGTATCATTCTTGAGAATAGATGAGAAATAAAAAATATGTAACATAAAGACATGTTTGTGATATGATTGGTATGATGTCATGAATGACATATAGTTATTATTATATTTAATAAGTATCAATCAAGATAGAAAATTTTGACTAAGATAACATAAATTATTGATGGTTGGTAATGACGATGCCGTATTCGGATGGCATTCTTGATTTTTCCAGACTTTGAGATTATGGCATTACTCTTTCGTCTCTGTATAAGTCAACCTAAATTTGTGCATTATGTATTCACTTCATCCATGGAACTCTTCTCTCTTCAATCCCTCCTTTTCTTCTCCCTCCTCTCTCTTTTTTTCTACTTCTTCGCTTCACCAAAACAAACCCTTAATGGCTTCAAACGTTACCCTTTATTCGGATGCTTACCAGGCTTCATTATAAACGACCACCGCCTCCTTGAATGGACAACCCAAAAGCTCAAAAACTACCCCACAAACACTGCTGTAATTTACAATCCCGGCACAGTCCACGGCGTCCTCACTGCAAATCCTTCCAACGTTGAGTACATCCTCAAGACTAACTTCGAAAACTACCAGAAAGGCGACGTGTTCATCGCCCCTCTTGAAGATTTGCTCGGCCGAGGAATCTTTAACTCCGATGGGGAGCTCTGGAAAGTTCAGCGCAAAACGGCTAGCCATCAGTTTAACACAAAGTCGCTTCGAAGTTTTGTTGTGGAGAATGTGAAGTTTGAGACTTGTGCGAGGTTGGTGCCCATGCTGACAAAAGCTTCGGAAAGAGAAGAAGTTCTGGATTTGCAGGGTGTTTTGGAGAAGTTTGCTTTTGATAACATTTGCAAGGTGGTGTTTAATGTCGATCCCGGCTGTCTCGGCGGCGATGGAGCCGGTGTTGGTGCCGAGTTTATGCGTGCGTTTGAAGATGCAAGCAACCGAAGCTGTGGGAGATTTAGGTATGCTTTTGAATTTCTATGGAGGTTGAAGAAGTTCTACAATATAGGATCAGAGAGAGAACTGAAAAAATCGATTGCAATAGTCAATGAATTTTCTACTGATATTATAAGATCAAGATTGGAAGCAAAAAAGGAAAATGAAAACGATCAGGATTTACTATCTCATTTTATTGGAAGTAATTATAATCCTTGTATGAACTCACCTGAGCTTTATCGAGATATGGTGATAAATTTTATTCTTGCAGGACATGACTCAACATCGTCAGCTCTAAGTTGGTTCTTTTGGCTATTATCGTCTCATCCGGACGTCGAAGAAAACATATTGAAAGAGCTTGAATCCATTCGGACAAAAAACCAAAAAATAATAGGCCAGTCTTATGAGTTCGATGAGTTAAGAGAAATGCATTATCTCCATGCGGCATTATCGGAATCGTTGCGATTGTATCCACCGGTACCGCTTGATTCAAAAGTATGTTGCAACGACGATAAATTACCGGATGGTACATTTGTCGGCAAGGGATGGATTATATCATACCATGCATATGCAATGGGGCGCATGGAGGGCATATGGGGCAAGAATTGCCATGAATTTTTGCCTGAAAGGTGGCTTGAAAATGGGATGTTTCGGCAAGAGAATGCTTATAGATTCCCGGTGTTCCATGCCGGGCCAAGAATGTGTATTGGGAAAGATATGGCTTACATTCAAATGAAGTCAATTGTAGCATCTGTGATTGAAAGGTTTATTGTTGATGTACAGGATAAGAACAAGTCTCCCGAGTATGTTTTATCTATGACACTAAGGATGAAAAATGGATTGAAAGTAAAAGTGAGGAAAAGATCTCAGGATTTTATCAATTGAATTATGTTAGGATCCTACATCTATTAAGTATAAGATTAGTGGGTGGTTTATTAATCTTTAGGCTCCCTCTCCATACAAACCGGTTTTACCCAACGCATTCATACAATTGGTATCAGAACTAGCTCTCATAGCCTGGGAGGGCCGACGCTGGCATTGACTCTCCTTATAAGTCCGTTTTAAGGGTGAGTTCTACCCAGAGAATAGTAACAAAATTATGTTTTTTTGTATGTGATATAAATAAACACACTTCTATCTAGTGGATGGTAACAAACTATGTTGTTATATAAATAAATACTTTATATCTTTTTATATTACCAATGAATTTATATCTTTTTAGACAAACTTGTGAAGATGAATACATAAAGTTATGGTAAGATTAGTGACCGGGATCTAGGAACTTTAATATTTATTTTATAACATTTTATTTAATATATTTATAATTGTTTGATATATATAGTATGATATAAGATACCATGTTGGTTCATAAAAATAGTGAAGTCCTACTAGTGGGTTATATTGAGTAAATTTTTTTCAAGTATTTAATATGAAGCTTAACAATTACCTGGGAGTGGCAGTTTCAGATTATGTGCATTAACAGGTTGAAACATATAAGCTTTTAATATCTCTTATAAGAAGTCTTACTCAATTATTTATCACATAACTTTTTACTTCTGTTTGAGCTTAATTAATTTGGTGCAACAAATTATTTATTTAATTCTCATACGCTTTACATGATCAGCATTTGATGAATACGATTTAATTAAAAATTGCTACATGAAGTAGCCAGATATTGGTAACAAATTTAAAATTGTTAAGGAAAACATAAAGATTAAGTTGACATTGCTACATAATAAGTGTACTACAAACAGCTACCAATCTCTCAGTCGTCAGATTGTATGTAACTTAAGTGACTGGACATCTTTTGAAGATTCAATGCACATCAATGAGTATGTTCCAAATGAGATTGAACTACATTCCCCAATCTCAGTCAACATTTTCGCATCGCTTATATCTTGTTTTTGGTCAGTAGATAAATACCCTTTTGAGAACATAATCCCCTCCAATTCCACTGCAACTTCTCTCATTGATGGCCTATCCCTCCCATTTTAGTGTAGACATCTTTTTGCAATGTAAGCAACTGCCATTAGCTCTTCCTTTCTATCTTCCTTCATTACTTGAGCATCGAGAATACCAATTAAGTTGTTTTGATCCAATGATGAAAACATATAGTTATTATTATATTTAATAAGTATCAATCAAGATAGAAAATTTTGACTAAGATAACATAAATTATTGATGGTTGGCAATGACGATGCCGTATTCGGATGGCATTCTTGATTTTTCCAGACTTTGAGATTATGGCATTACTCTTTCGTCTCTGTATAAGTCAACCTAAATTTGTGCATTATGTATTCACTTCATCCATGGAACTCTTCTCTCTTCAATCCCTCCTTTTCTTCTCCCTCCTCTCTCTTTTTTTCTACTTCTTCGCTTCACCAAAACAAACCCTTAATGGCTTCAAACGTTACCCTTTATTCGGATGCTTACCAGGCTTCATTATAAACGACCACCGCCTCCTTGAATGGACAACCCAAAAGCTCAAAAACTACCCCACAAACACTGCTGTAATTTACAATCCCGGCACAGTCCACGGCGTCCTCACTGCAAATCCTTCCAACGTTGAGTACATCCTCAAGACTAACTTCGAAAACTACCAGAAAGGCGACGTGTTCATCGCCCCTCTTGAAGATTTGCTCGGCCGAGGAATCTTTAACTCCGATGGGGAGCTCTGGAAAGTTCAGCGCAAAACGGCTAGCCATCAGTTTAACACAAAGTCGCTTCGAAGTTTTGTTGTGGAGAATGTGAAGTTTGAGACTTGTGCGAGGTTGGTGCCCATGCTGACAAAAGCTTCGGAAAGAGAAGAAGTTCTGGATTTGCAGGGTGTTTTGGAGAAGTTTGCTTTTGATAACATTTGCAAGGTGGTGTTTAATGTCGATCCCGGCTGTCTCGGCGGCGATGGAGCCGGTGTTGGTGCCGAGTTTATGCGTGCGTTTGAAGATGCAAGCAACCGAAGCTGTGGGAGATTTAGGTATGCTTTTGAATTTCTATGGAGGTTGAAGAAGTTCTACAATATAGGATCAGAGAGAGAACTGAAAAAATCGATTGCAATAGTCAATGAATTTTCTACTGATATTATAAGATCAAGATTGGAAGCAAAAAAGGAAAATGAAAACGATCAGGATTTACTATCTCATTTTATTGGAAGTAATTATAATCCTTGTATGAACTCACCTGAGCTTTATCGAGATATGGTGATAAATTTTATTCTTGCAGGACATGACTCAACATCGTCAGCTCTAAGTTGGTTCTTTTGGCTATTATCGTCTCATCCGGACGTCGAAGAAAACATATTGAAAGAGCTTGAATCCATTCGGACAAAAAACCAAAAAATAATAGGCCAGTCTTATGAGTTCGATGAGTTAAGAGAAATGCATTATCTCCATGCGGCATTATCGGAATCGTTGCGATTGTATCCACCGGTACCGCTTGATTCAAAAGTATGTTGCAACGACGATAAATTACCGGATGGTACATTTGTCGGCAAGGGATGGATTATATCATACCATGCATATGCAATGGGGCGCATGGAGGGCATATGGGGCAAGAATTGCCATGAATTTTTGCCTGAAAGGTGGCTTGAAAATGGGATGTTTCGGCAAGAGAATGCTTATAGATTCCCGGTGTTCCATGCCGGGCCAAGAATGTGTATTGGGAAAGATATGGCTTACATTCAAATGAAGTCAATTGTAGCATCTGTGATTGAAAGGTTTATTGTTGATGTACAGGATAAGAACAAGTCTCCCGAGTATGTTTTATCTATGACACTAAGGATGAAAAATGGATTGAAAGTAAAAGTGAGGAAAAGATCTCAGGATTTTATCAATTGAATTATGTTAGGATCCTACATCTATTAAGTATAAGATTAGTGGGTGGTTTATTAATCTTTAGGCTCCCTCTCCATACAAACCGGTTTTACCCAACGCATTCATACAATTGGTATCAGAACTAGCTCTCATAGCCTGGGAGGGCCGACGCTGGCATTGACTCTCCTTATAAGTCCGTTTTAAGGGTGAGTTCTACCCAGAGAATAGTAACAAAATTATGTTTTTTTGTATGTGATATAAATAAACACACTTCTATCTAGTGGATGGTAACAAACTATGTTGTTATATAAATAAATACTTTATATCTTTTTATATTACCAATGAATTTATATCTTTTTAGACAAACTTGTGAAGATGAATACATAAAGTTATGGTAAGATTAGTGACCGGGATCTAGGAACTTTAATATTTATTTTATAACATTTTATTTAATATATTTATAATTGTTTGATATATATAGTATGATATAAGATACCATGTTGGTTCATAAAAATAGTGAAGTCCTACTAGTGGGTTATATTGAGTAAATTTTTTTCAAGTATTTAATATGAAGCTTAACAATTACCTGGGAGTGGCAGTTTCAGATTATGTGCATTAACAGGTTGAAACATATAAGCTTTTAATATCTCTTATAAGAAGTCTTACTCAATTATTTATCACATAACTTTTTACTTCTGTTTGAGCTTAATTAATTTGGTGCAACAAATTATTTATTTAATTCTCATACGCTTTACATGATCAGCATTTGATGAATACGATTTAATTAAAAATTACTACATGAAGTAGCAAGATATTGGTAACAAATTTAAAATTGTTAAGGAAAACATAAAGATTAAGTTGACATTGCTACATAATAAGTGTACTACAAACAGCTACCAATCTCTCAGTCGTCAGATTGTATGTAACTTAAGTGAGTGGACATCTTTTGAAGATTCACTGCACATCAATGAGTATGTTCCGGTTGAGATTGAACTACATTCCCCAATCTCAGTCAGCATTTTCGCATTGGTTATATCTTGTTTTTGGTCAGTAGATAAATACCCTTTTGAGATCATAATCCCCTCCAATTCCATTGCAACTTCTCTCATTGATGGCCTATCCCTCCCATTTAAGTATAGACATCTTTTTGCAATGTAAGCAACTGCCATTAGCTCTTCCTTCCTATCTTCCTTCATTACCTGAGCATCGAGAATACCAATTAAGTTGTTTTGATCCAATGATGAAATGAAATATGCAACTAAACTTATATTTTCCTCTTCTTCAGTCAAAAAAATTGGCTTCTGCCTTGTCATAAGCTTGACCATAACCACTTCAAAACTATAAACATCACTTTTTTTTGTGACTTGGTTAGAGCGAAAATATTCAGGATCCAAGTAGCCAAAAGTACCTTTCACTTGTGTAGTTAAGTGCGTTATATCAAGAGAAACTGACTTTGAGGTTCCAAAATCTGACAATTTAGCTGACAATTTTTCATCTAATAGGATGTTAGAAGACTGGACATCTCTATGATAGATGAGAACAGAAGCTGAAGCATGCAAGTATGCAATTGCACTGGCAACTTCTGTGGCTACGCGCAATCGAATTTCCCAAGAAAAAGGAAATCCCTCTGTTTGATATTGGATAGCATGGTAAAGAGTTCCATTTGGAATGAACTCATAAACAAGTAGAGGAACTTCAGTCTCTAAGCAACAACCTAACAACTCAACAACATTTCTATGATTAATCTGTGAAAGGATAACGACCTCATTTATAAACTGCTCAAGTTGTGCCTTATCAATTACTTTGGACATTTTGACTGCAACATTTCTCCCATCAGATAACATTCCTTTGTACACTGTGCCTTGCCCTCCTTGACCGATGATTCTATTCTGATTATACATATTAGTAGCAATTTCTAATTCTGTTGAAGTAAAAAGTTTAGTTTTCTCGACACTACCTTCATTTGAAGATAATTTTTGCTGCAACAATAAACCACCATTTCGTTTGAAGAATTTCTCTTTTGAGTTCAATGCTTTTTCTTTTTTGCAGTACTTTGTGAGACCATAAAGCTCCAAGAATTACAAGCAAAAGTCCTAAGCCTGCACTAGCACCTGCAGATATATATTTATATATTTAAATTATAAAGGTCAGTATCTTACGTTACTAAACAAAATGTGTTTAATTACGCTACAGGAATTTACCTATTATAGCTGTTCTAACCCACTGTTTGTTTTCAACGCAACCAATTCCACCTCTACGGCCATCACCACTGTAACCTGAAGGACAACAACATTGGTAGTTCCCTAGGGTGTTGACGCAGATTTTGACACAATCATTCAGGCCCACATCCTCACATTCATCAACATCTATAAAAATAATGACAAGTTAAACAATATTTTTAATCATTAATTTTGAGCAGTGAAGATAGTTTAATTAGTAGCATTTACCTGTGCATCCTTGTGGAAGATACGGGTTCCCCGCAAAGCCTTTGGCACATGAGCAAGAAACAAAGCTTTGATTCACTGAACAAATAGCATTGGGGCCACAAATTTTGCATGTCTCATTTGCAGAGAACTTCCAATCAAGCACTACAGGAAAGAGGTCCGAAGGCATATAATAAAAAGGGTAAGAAAATGTTTGGTTAAGAAACCAATCTTGGTCAACCAGGAAGGCATACTTGCAGGTCTCGTAACTACCATCTTTGTTTGTCCCACTGACACTCAAAGTGAAGTTCTTTAGTCCATAAGGAATCATAGCCTGGCAACAGGTGATTCCATAACAACTAGCACCTGAACTAGAGGATGAGGCATGGCTCTCATCGTTGCAAATAGACATGCAACCTCCAATGAGTTCATTATTTTCACTGATTGTGGCCTGGACACCACAACCCAATGCCGTAAACCTGTTACCATTTTCTGGGTAGAATAAATAGGGATTGTCTCCCAAGTTCTTGCTTATATTCACAAGTCCGGAACATGAAGAATAAATCTCACTATTGACGCGCATGGAACCTCCTGGGAGATTTATTTCCAAAATCTCAGCCTGAGGATTTGTCAATAAAGGTTTAGGAGGGTTGAATGAAGTGCTACATATAATAGAGAACGACTCATCTTTAGAGCAACCTGATCCAATACCAAAAGGGTAAGAGATTGTGACATTGCCGCATTGATTTGGACAATTGGGCAGTGCTGGATAACCAAAATTTGCATAAACTGAAACTGTGCCCAACAAGAACAAGGAAAATTGTTGGAATATTATGTATTGCAATGCCATGATTGATCTTATAGTAACTACTGAACAAGAAAGGATCAGGTAGGAATTCAGCATATCAGCCAACAATAACAAATCGTCAATTTATAGAGATTGAAATAGCCAGGTTGTCACGGTATGACCGAGTCATTGCAAGAGAAATTTCAAAGACCTTGCAAGGATATACAGATAAAAATTTCCATGGAATTACTTTGAGTCTAAGTAAGAGAAATTTCAACTTCTTCATCGCTTATAGGAGTGGATAATTTTTTAATAGTTCTAAGTCAACATTCCAAAAGACTGGGTAAAAGACATAGGAAATTCCACTATTTGATCATGGACATGGGAAAAAGTTCCATTTGGAATGACCACAAAAACGAGTGGAGGAACATCTGTTAAAATATAAACAACCACCTAAAAACTTAACAACATTTTTATGCTCAATTTCTGAAAGGATAAGCACCTCATTTATAAATTGCTCAAGTTATGCTTCATCAATTACTTTGGACATTTTGGCCGCAACAATTCTACCATCTGATAACATTCTTTTATACACTGTGTCTTGCCCTCCCCGATCGATCTGTCAGTAGAAATTTCTAATTCTGTTGAAGTGAAAAGTTTAGTTTTGTCCATACTACTTTCACTATTTGAAACCAGTTTTTGCTTCTACAACAAAGTAACAAACCACCATTTCGTTTAAAGAATTTCTCTTTCAGTTGAATTATTTATCTTCTTTGCAGAACTTTGTAAGAGCATAAAGCTCCAAGAACTATAAGCAAAAGTCCTAAGCCTGCACTAGTACCTACAAATTATATTTTTAAATTATAAAGATCAATACCTTACTTTATTACTCAGAATGTTGAATTAAAATACAGGGCTTTACCTACTATGGCTGGAGTCATCTACGGTTTGTCTTCAACACAACCAATTAATTCCACCTTTACGGCCATCACCATTGTATCCTAAAGGGCAAGAACATGTGTAGTTTCCTTTTATATTGATGCAATTTTTGACACAATCATTCAAGCCCAGATCCGCACATTCATCAACGTCTATAAACAACGACAAGTTAAACAAAAACGTAAGTTAATCATTCTGGCTGTAATTATACTTTCAATCCTTAATTCCAAAGAATATTATTAATTTTTTAGTAGCATTTACCTGTGCATCCTTGTGGAAGATATGGTTTCCCCTTGAAGCCTTTGGTGTAGGAGCAAGAATAAAAAATTCCCCATGTCTTAGTCTGACATTGATATTTGAGCCAATGGCATTGGGGCCAAAAATCCCCCATTTCTCATTTACAAACATTTTCCAATCCTTATCTACCAAGAAGGCAAATGTTCAGGCCTTATAGCTACTATCTTTCTCATCGCACTGACACTCAAAGTGAAGTTCCTAATTAGTCCATGAGGAATTATGGTCTGGCAACAGTTGATTCTATAACAATCAGCACCATAAAGTCTAGTTGATTGTCTTGTCGTTGCAAATAGATATGCAGCCTCCAAAAAGTTCATTAGTTTCACTAATTGTGGCCTGAACACCACAACCCAATGCAGTAAATCCAGTGGCGGAGCTAGAAATTCAAGTGGAGGGGGTGAGGGCGAAATTCACAGGTGATATACTTTAAAATTTTCAACATAATAATATAAATTGAAATTATAATAATTTTATACGATACTGTGATCATGTGGCATCAGTTTTTTACACCTCTCTTCTTATATGGAGTCCACTGTTGGTCAAACGCAATTTAAAGAAGAGAGGGGCATTATTGGAATTCTCTAATTGGAACTTTTGTTAGTCAACCTAATCTGCTTCAGGTCGACATTTTCTTTCCTTCTCGATTATTCTCTCTTGGTTACAAATAGAGAAATGTTGTTGCAAAGGAGATTGAGGTGGAGCTTTGAAGATCGCAAGATGAAATCAAACGGTGATGGTGAGAGCGGTTGTTACAATTTTATTCTTTTTCTTGTGTATAAATTGTCTGTTAATTCATTGTATTTTGTATGTATAAGAGGTGAGGCACATGGGGTCTTTAGGTGATTTGCAAAGGGGTTTATCCTGGGATTCTTCTTGTAAATAGGGAGCTACAAAACTCTGTAAGGTTTTATGTTATAGTGCATATTTCTTACTGCCTTGAAGAGTGGAAGTAGATAATCACATTGATTACTGAATCACTATAAATTTGTGTGTTCTTTACTTTCTTTTATGCTCTTGTTATTTTTCATAATTGATTGTTGTGATTATTGTTTAATTAGAAACTTAGAGTTTCTTGAGTGTTGGTTGCATCTAGCTGTGTAACTATAGTTAATAAATTCAGTAACTATGATTAGTAAATGTTGGTTACTAGCAAAAGTTGTAGTTAAACTTGTATATAGTTTGTAACGAAAAACAGAGCAATACATGAGAGAAAATTCTTTCTTCATGAAAACTCTCATTTCTTCATTTCATTTCATTGTATCAGAGCGATGCTTCTGCAACTTGATTTGATCTAAGTACTCCAAATCAATCCTTCGACTCTAAATCAATCCTTCGTTTCTTTTTGGAGTAGTGAAAGAAGAGATTTCAGAAATTGAAAGCAATAATGGCAAGTGTCAATGGAGATCCAAGTTCGCCTTTTTATATACATCCATCAGATACTCCAGGTTCGGTCTTAGTCTCAGAACAACTTATTGGGACTGAAAATTATGGAATTTGGAGTAGAGCTATGACAGTATCATTGCGTGCTAAAAAGAAGTTAGGGTTTATGGATGGAACTTGCAAGAAATCGACATTTGATACTCTTTTACATGCACAATGGGAAAGGTGCAATTCTTTGGTATTGGCCTGGATTTTCAACACAGTATCCAAAGATATTTTAAGTGGAATTGTTTACTCTACAAATGCGTCTCAAGTCTGGGAAGATCTTCAGGAGCAATATCACAAGGTGAATGGTACAAGAATTTTTGGAATTCACAGAGAAGTTGTGAATCTTGTCCAAGGTACAAACTCTGTGGTAGTGTATTTTAACAAACTAAAATCTCTATGGGATGAATTGAATGCTTTAGTAAGCTTGCCACCTCCTGATAGTGCTATAGCAAAGTCTTGTCATGAACATTTAAACCAACAAAAATTATTGCAATTCTTGATGGGACTTAATGATTCCTACTCAATGGTGCGTAGCCAAATACTATTAATGTCACCACTGCCGTCGGTGAAACAGACATACTCAATTGTGAATCAGGATGAAAGTAAGAAGATACTTGTTGGAATCAACACCAATTCAAAGGTTTCTGTTAGTGAACGACCCACTTACGCAGCGGAAAACAAAGAGCATAAATGACATGAATCGTTCCTTAGAACCAAGATCCGTGTATAATATCACAGTTTATACAATATATAAATTAAATCTGCAAAAAATCAGATTCAAGGTTCAATAATCTTACGCATGTTTGGAGGCTCCTCCAACTTTGTCCTTGAACGTTTTTTCTACCGACCCATGTGTAGGATCGAACCGACGTAGTCCACACGAAGATAATCGCAAGGAACTACGGAGGGATTTGCTAGATCCTCCTTAGCCTTAAGAAACAAGAAGAAAAATCAAAGAAGAACTTTGATTCTTTGCAAAAGCAAAAGTGGCGTGAGAGTGAGAGTGTTTTGGGGCTGTGTATTCTCCTTTTGAATGAATGAATGAATGAATGAAAAGTCTATCTCATTTTCCAACTAAAACCTTTTCTTTTATAGTCAAATTTCAATTGTCCTATTCCCATAGGGAATAGGCTTGGGCTCCAACCCAAACACCCCATGCTACCAAACACTCCCAATTAGATATTTATTTTATTTAATCATTATCTTCAATTAAAATCAATTAATATATATTTAATCTATATATTAACATTTAACAATAATGATGATTTAATTAAATATATGCGAACACATATTTAAACGTAATTTCACTTATTTAATTTTTCTAATAAATTAAAAAAAGGCTACGACCTCAGCAAATTTAATTGCACTGTGAAATTACCAAAATACCCTTTCACCTAAAAAGACGAAAACGCCCTTCTTTCTTTCTGGCTCTTAAATTATCTTCTATGTGTGTGACCCATAGGCTTCTCATCATATCGGCAGTGTATAGTATCGCGATTAACACCAATTAATAGTCTCACTAATACACAAACCAAGATTGGCCCCTAACAAGGCATCATGGCCGCCACCCGATAGATTCAGATTCAGTAAAGTAGCTACCTGTCAACGATATGGTTACCGTACAATTCGATCCTTTTATCATACTGTATCTCGATGAGACGGAGGCATATAAATAGTGTCAACCTCCGGTTACTCTCGATATTATGTATTCAGTTTCTGGACCAATGACCTGTATTATAATCCGGATAGAGCAACAACTCAATCTCACTGTGGCCACAGTTTTAGTGTCATTGCCACATACTGAATTGCGCCGTGAGATAACTTCTCCCGTACCCAAGATTGATGAATCCTCTGTCAATCTATCATAGTCTTGATACACTCCTTGATGCAGCCAATCACCACCGTATTGACAACTCTGAATAGAACTCCGTTAGGCTAGTGTCAAACTGCACCAATTGGTGCACAAGGCGCTCCGGTGATCTCAAGTCTAAGGATCACATGTACCACCATTCGTTAGAGGATTTGTTCCATAGACACTGGGGTTACCATCCATATGGAATCCTCTGGTGGGTCAGTCCAGTGAACTTGCTGTGGTATATCCGCCTACAACAAGCACCCATGTATTGCACCAGGTTGTCACCAAACAACCTTGCCAAGTGAGATCAGTCACTACCTTTCGACAGGGTCGTTCAACACTATGATAGCCTTACCGTATTATCTGTGCCCTTACTTCAGAATAATACTGAGGCTACGGACGTTTCTAGAATAGCCACCATATGTGCTCATAGGGTTCTCACTATCAAGATTTGAAACACTTGATACCCTCGTCACGGTTCTACCATTCTAAGAACATATATCAATACATATTGTAATAATAATGATTTACGCAATATAGAACA